TAAATATTTTTTAACTATTAGTGGTGTTGTGCGTTTTTTTTTGGGGGGGGGGGTTAATGAAAGTGTTCCAAAATGGGAGATTAATTTCTTGACGACTTGATAGTTTAATAAAATTTTGTATGTTGCTCTGTAAAGAGTTCGTGACGCACGCACTTTGAGTCGTCAATATCAATAAGGTTATCATTGGTCAAAAAACGTGTTAGGAAGGTTTGGAGAACACTCAGGCATGTTACACTGATGCTTCTTTTCTTAAAGGTAAATTAAATCTACAATAGTAGTTGAAACCAAGTAAAGTTTCTGTGTTAAGTAAACTATATTATTTGTTAATTGTTACTTTCATTAACATACATCTCATGGTTGAAAGCCCGTTTTTTATCACAACAGCCTTTACTTGTTTCTAAAGCTATGCGCTTCAATATACTTATATGTTGGTTTATGAAATTTCAAGTTAGTGACATTCTGTTTTATGGTGTCTTTTAGAAAAACAAGCAAATTTTATATAACCATTGTTAATCACTACATATAAGCACATTGGTTATCAAACTTACAATTCCATGTCAGTCTACTTATATGGTATTACCACACTTGTAGATCCTTCTAATACTTAGCTACAAAAACTGTATTTTATTATTTCAAATCCAATGTTCTCTACATATTGTATAGAAATCTCTTATGAATCTTAAACTAAGCATCTGATGTTCTTGTGAGCCATTGAATATATAATGTAAGGTACAAATCATACTGATATTTTTTTATTTTTTACCTTTTCACTTGTAAAGTGAGAAAAAAAGCTAAACTTAAAAATTTTATCCCACCAATCTATCAATACGAGTTGAAACAAAAACGTAGTGCTCTTAGTTTTATTTTATTTTCTGACTGCTCCACTTTTGAAACAATTTAAGTTTATTTTTGGAATACCCATAAATATTTTAAGAATTTTGAGAAATGTTTTTGTACAGTGACTATTTATACGAATTTAAAACAATATTACATTTCATTAAGTTTAAAGAATGACGTTTATTTACACCTAAGGTATATCTGTTATAATCAGTATACAGTTCAAACATCCATAAGACATAGTCTTGTTGTCATAAACAAATAAATACTGATGGCCAATGGATCAGTTAGTACAGAATAAAATATTTTAAAATAATGGAGTCAACACGAAAAAGGTATTTTTACCTCAATAACAATAATCTGCCATAACAAGAAGGAATAGTTTTGAAAAAGAGATGTCATCGATATAATTTCGATCATTAATCTATCATACAACGATGTAAATACAAGCTTGTTTGTAAGTTGGACTGAACACTGGCCCATCATCATACTAAGTCTTTCTTAAACTACTTAGAACAACGTAGAAAAATGTATTAAATATACAAGGATCTTTTCACCGGCGTAAAAATATTTCGAATAAACAAAGCACGCAGGCAATATCAAAGGTGCTGGTAGAAATTGAAAACAAGATGCTAAATATCTTCCTCTCGTTAATTCTTTTTCTAACAACTTTGAAAGTAAAGATATAACAGCGCACTTACTTAGCAAATGTGTTTATAAACCACGCATTTTTTAGCATTACAGATGTTAAAGTACGTAATGTCGGAAATTCTTAAATATGTGAAAATTTAGTATTTCAAATATGGGCCAAAGCTTAACGTTAGAAAGTATGAAATTCTGAGTAACAGCCGACATAAAGAATGTTATGATTATGTCGTTTATTGTTGAAGATTTTGTTGAATTCCTTATGATAAAGCTTTGTTTGAAGTTAAGCACAAAGCCACACAATAGGCTATCTGTGCTTTGCCCACCACGGGTATCGAAACCCGGTTTCTAGCGTTGTAAGTCCGCAGACATACCACTGTGCCACTGGGGGTATGGTAAAGCTAACAATAAATTTAACGTTTTAAATGAATGAGTACGGTTCATGTTAATTACCTGTTGCTATATTTTGGACCAGAGGATCCAACATAAGTCTAACGCAAGAAAAATCCATCACAAACTTCTATATTAGAGTTGAGCAATGAATGCGATGTTATTAAGCTATACAGATGTTAAGTTATAAAGTCCTATAGAGTCAATGTCTAGGAAATATTTTTGTGTAAACTACACTTTATCTCTAGAACTAACAGGTAGATTTTTTTATTGTTATTAAGCACAAAGTTACACAACGAGGTATCTGCGATTTGCCCATCACAAGCAGAATCCTAGCGTTGTTGACTGTGAGACTTACCACTGAGCCACCGGGGGGACAGTAAATTTTGTAAATCCTTTTACATTAATACAGTAATTAAAAAAAAAGTAAAATAAGCACAATTAGAAATAAAACTATTATTTTATTTATAATTGTATTTATCTCACCATTTCGTGTACTTGTCTAAACTGGGTCGGCAGTTCCAACTGCGTGACGTGCATATTTTGGAAGAAAGTAGATTGTTTGTTTGTTTGTAATTAAGCACAAAGCTACACAATGGGCTATCTGTGCTCTGCCCACCACGGGTATCAAAACCCAAATTCTAGCATTGTAAGTCTGCAGACATACCGCTGTGCTACTGGGAGGCAAGAAAGTAGATAAAGTTACGTGCTGTTGCTGTAATTTCAGATTAATGTTGTAAGTCTGCAGACATACCGCTGTGCTACTGGGAGGCAAGAAAGTAGATAAAGTTACGTGCTGTTGCTGTAATTTCAGATTAATGTTGTAAGTCTGCAGACATACCGCTGTGCCACTGGGAGGCAAGAAAGTAGATAAAGTTACGTGCTGTTGCTGTAATTTCAGATTAATGGAGCCTCATTAAAATTAGTCATTCCTTAACATTTATCGTGAAAAAACAGTGACTGTTACCGAGTAAAACATGGGATGTGATAGGTGAAAAGACATTAATGAAAAGAACGAAGCTTGACGCTAAACTGATGCACATCATATGTAAGTACAGACTACACGCCACAACTGTTGTTGTTTTTTCATATATTAAAGAAAACCACTATGTAATAACTGGAAAAAGCTGTTTTAACTGGTTTTATTCTACTTACCGACACAATTCGAAAACGAAAAATCGCATCATGCGTTAGTGTGTCTGCAGAATGGCATTAACATTCCTCAGATATATGTTTTTCTTTGTTGTTAAGCGCCAAATTACTCAATGGGCTATCTGTACTTTACCCAGCCCAATATATGCCCCTTACCTACTCCGTATAGAGGAAATTCTCATAATCTATTTAGGTTTTCCATCTTAATGTTAATGACCTATCTTCCTTCGTAGACTTAGTCTGATGTGGGAATATACACAACTGATGACATATTTCTACTTACAAGTTAAATATCTATTACATTTGTATCGTATATTTCACAAGAACTTAGCCTCGCATGAGTATAATCTCAGAGAAATACCACAGTATCCTCTTTTCACACATACATAAAATACATAATTAAATAAATTCCATTATTTGAATACAAGTTAGAAAAAATATTACATGATATTTGTAAAAAACGTTGCAAAACGTAATTTTACGAGAGGTAAAAGTTACGTAAAGGATAATGTCATGATAAACAGAACAATATTTAAAAAACAAAAGAAAACTTTAATAATACATGCAAGCTGTTCACGTCATGAAAAATAAATATGTTGACTCGTCGAATGTCAGCTAATTGAAGTTGTATAGCACAAGTCTAATGTGAAAGTTACCTTCTCTCGGTGTAATCATACGAAAAGTATAATTGTTTAACTGGCAGATATTCTATGTCAAACCATATTAGCAGATATCCAATCAGACGAACTACTTATTCGATGGTAGATCCCAGGTTGATACTGTTTGGCGCAAGAATAGCCAGCGGAAACTACTCCTATAAGATACCAGACACCGAAATGGTTAACTGACAGTGGTCCACCTGAATCACCCTAAAAAAATGAAATGAAAAATGCGTTCAAATTGAATCGCGTATATTTAAAAAAATGCTTACTATATATCACAAATTAAGCATTACTTATTACATGAAATACACTTTTTTAGAAGTCAGACCTTTGGTATAAAATACAAGCAAATTTATGGAAGTTATATAGATATAGATTATGTACTTTGCTTTTTATAAAAGGGTCGGGCGTTGACTAGTGGTTATTGTGCCGGACTGTGGGTCCCGTAGTTCGCGTCCTGTCACCGCAAAATTGCTTTTTGCATTTTCGAGCCGTCAGTGTATTATAAGATAGACAGCCAAATCCCACTATTCGCGTATAGTAGATTACAAGTTGGTGGTAGATGTTGTTGACTAACTGCCTTCCATCTAGTCTACCACTTCAAAATTAAGGGCGGCTATGCGCACATATCTCTTGTATAAACAAATTCTATAATTTAAGAGACATGAAAAATAAACACAGTGAAAATATTAAGGTATCTTTAAGCTAAACATCTTGAAGTTGTTATCCGCATTTTGTGCATCTAGCATTCAGCCGAAAGTTTGTTTGTTTGTTTTGGAATTTCGCGCAAAGCTACACGAGGGCTATCTGCGCTAGCCGT